TCCCAGCTTCTTGCTGGCAGGGCATGGGAAGCTGGAAAGCCCTTGACTAGTGTAAGCACCGCTTAGCAACAACTAAAATGTCAGTGTGTTATCAATATCATTCTCATCCTAAATCCAAAACACAGCACTGTACCAGCTACTAGGAAGAAAATTAACCCTATCCCAGCCAAAACCAGGACAAATATGGATGCCAATACCTATGACACACACACAGAACTGCACACACAACAGCTGGTCCTCCTGTGTCCTCTGAGCGACTCAAAGCTGAACATAAGTCAACTCTTTATTGAAGTGGGCTATTAACTAGGTAGTACTTCTTTCATAAGGCACAAGAGATGTTAAAATCTGGCCATTTCTTTGAATATGTATTGCACGATATGAAACTGATTCATAGCAGGGCATGACTTTCCCTGCTTAGAATAGTTACAATCAATGAGCTGCTTCAAATTTGTGATGAGGTGTGTGAGAGTTACAAATCAGCTTTCTATTATTAGACATACAGATTATCTGTTAAGGATAAGAAATTGATATTGCAACCAGTATTTAGATGTTGCATTATATTATTGTAACTGATTAAAGCTATCGGCCCCAATGTCTTATCTGCGATCAGCACTGTCATTTCCCTTTTATATTATAACAGCCTAGAGTCTGGGCTTGCTAAGAAATCTTGGAAGAGACTCACATTCAAGAGAGGGTACTTCAGCTTTCAAGTGCTCCTTGCAGCCCCCAGCACAGCTCAGGTTTTCCTATTGGCTTTTCTTGCATAGGGCCAAACCCCTTTCTGAAACACCTGAGCCTCCTTCTATGCTGCTCTGACCCACCTCCAAGGTAGGACAGACCCTACCCACTCCTCGGGGACGATATACCAGACGCATTAAAATGTAGAGACTCTGAAATCCCACAACCCTGATAGACTCCTCTTTCTGTGAGAGCGATGACTTCTATGAAAAGACTGAAGAATGCAATCAAAAAATAATTACGATTATCAGGCTAATTACTGCATACATTTGCTAATGCTAATAGTGATATGAAACACTAATTGTTGTTTACTGTGGGATGAATACTTAAACTTGTCAAGAGAAGGGGGGGGGGGGGGGGGGTTTTTTTTCCCTTGGAAAAA